CCCACCCACACCCACACTATCCTCTGTTCAAGTGTTCAATCATCATGTTCACTTCAATTTCTCAAAGTAGACACATAATTGAGCACACCAAACCTGATTTTTTCTGAAAAATAGGATGTCAGTAGAACGTGCTATGCTATGACACATATTAGAGGGATATAATATCATTTTCTCGAAGTCGTGCTCTAACACGACTTCCTCTACCCACGGAATGTAATCGAGACTTCTTATATCAATAAACTATCTAGCACTGGATTTTTAGCTTACAGACAATATCTATTGCTTTCTTCATATTTTCCTGCTGCCAATCTTATTTTCAAATAATGTCGAAGCCCAATTTGTAATGAATCTCGAATTATGTAAAAAGAAAACCAGACCTCGTTTTCTCCTGTTTCCGACCTCTTATTTTTCAGGGATCATCCTGAAAGTTTTTTTAAAGCTACGTTTCTTTATTCCTTTTCTATTTGAAATCATCGTGATACAATTGTGTCATGTAGATGTTGTTATTTTTGGAGATTTCGAAACAGTGAATCTAGGCAAGATTTTATCTGATAGCATTTGGATAGTTTCACAGAGTTTCGAGTAAGTCCTGTTGCAGAAGTGGGCAGAAATCTTCATGGAATGTCGATACAAAGGAATCACTGATTAGAGCAATATGGTATACTGTATATTTCCTACTCATATTTTCATCGAATATAAAGTGATCAAATGAAAGGTATCTTGTTCATTTTTCACTGAAGAAACCCCATCAGATTGTCAGTGTTAAAGACGCAATATGACAGCATGTTATTCATAATGATGTACGTAAATGAAGCTTGACCTTGATTACACATGTGACACATATGAAAAACACGTTCTATATATATATATATATATATATGCTTTTAGAATATATATATATATATGTATGCTTTTAGAATATATATGTCGTATCGAAGTTACACCGGTCGACGAAGTTATAACTTCGTCAACATTCTTGACGAAGTTACAACTTCATCGTATAAACGTGACGAAGTTATAACTTCGATGCTCATAGTTATCGAAGTTGCAACTTCGAGAGAGAAACTTGCCGAAGTTATTTTTAATTCACTTATCAATAAGTAATTTATTAAACTAAGTATTTTACTGTTGAATATATGATCAAACAATAAAATTTTTACTAATAAATGTTCATTTATTTCACAATATTATAAAATGAATATTTATTAGTAAAAATTTTATTTTTTGGTCATATATTCAACAATAAAATACTTATTCTCTTTCTCGTAGAGAAGAGTCTTGCAAACATAAATTGTCTGATTGCTTGCTTGCTTGCTTGTGTGTCCACACTTTAATGATTGGTCGAACAACGATCTCGACACAAAAAGAGTTCTTTCAAATAAAACTCAATCAAAGGTAATCGAGATCGAGGAATTCGAGTCTGAGGCCAGTTTTTTGAAATTTTTTTGTGGATCATTTTTTTACATAAAGGACCACTTTTTTACGAAAAAGAAATTGTTTTATTAAGTTTGACCAAAGGTTTTTGAGGTCGGGGAATCGATTGGTACCGTTAGTTTGTGATAATTTTGTTGAACTAGTTTTTCTTAGTAGAAAAGGCGTTTCTAGTAAAGAAAATTTTTTTTAGAAAGTTTGACCAAAGGTTTTCGAAGTCGAGGAATCTTCCAACATAAAAATTCTACAAATCCAGCCTTTTCTTGCTGAAGATGCTGAACTGAAACGTCTTAATGAACTTAATAGGAACACACACCGACAGTGCACTTTCTTCGATTTTTAAAATTATATGAGTAGTTTGCTGAATAGCTCAGAAAAACCATTTCTACGAGAAAGAGCTGAGCGAGTCCTCGGACGAGCGTTACTTGTTTTAATAAATTACTTATTGATAAGTGAGTTAAAAATAACTTCGGCAAGGTTCTCTGCCGAAGTTGTAACTTCGATAACTGTGAGCGTCGAAGTTATAACTTCGTCACGTTTATACGACGAAGTTGTAACTTCGTCGACCAGTGTAACTTCGATATGACATATATATGCTTTTAGGATATAAAGTTATCTCATAAATACCGATTGATTGCTGTGCATCATTCAAAAGACACATCATGGATGTGCAACACCAAGCAACACAAACGAATGGGCGACGCAACGAGAAAATTTCAACTCGTCACGATTTTTGTTGTCTGGCTTTCGTAACGAATTGACAGTACGAAAATCCGTAACAGAGCTTTCGTAACGACAAAATCAGGGGTTTCGTAACAAAAAATCAGGGGTTTCGTAACAAATTTTACAGGGTGATCGTAACCATTGGTTTGATATGTGCAATTTTAGAACGTCATGTCCTCAATTACAGGCATTTCGTAATGAATTTTACAGGGTTATCGTAACCCCTTATACAGGGCTTTCGTACTATACTTAACTTAGAAGTAAGAGTGACAATGCAGGGCTGTCGTAACGAAAAGTACAGGGCTATCGCAACCGTTGGTACAAGGCTGTCACACTGTGAAAGTAGCGTTGAATAGTTATAGTTACAGGGCTTTCGTAACAAATAATCAGAGTTATTGTAACCAAACAAATCGGACTTTTTCGCAGAAAGAATGTTTATATCAATTATTTGTGTGAGATGACTGTAGTATATACCGTCTTTCAGAACGTCCGCAGCTTTTCTTGTATCCTACGTAACTTACAGTAGAATGTACATTACTCATATCTTTAGACAGCTATAGATGTCACTGTGTTATATAAGAGCAGTACCAAGCTATCCAGTTACAAAATGATTGGTAAATATACTAATATATACTAACAATGATTTTCTGTTCTACTTTGTAAAGTCGATGGTTGCCGAGACTCGATCAGCAAAAAGAGCTGCTGCTGCAGCTTCTATTAGCACTCATTCTACATCATCAAATAGTCTTATCACTTGTTTGTCGTCATTCTCATCTTCTACATCTACATTAGTGAATACATCAGATAACACTCGAGATAGAAAAATTAATCGAAGAAATGTTCGTTGCTCCTCACCATTAATAGCACGTTCAATTTTAAATAAGAGCAAGTAAGTTGTTTTTCTGTTCTATTAATTTGAGTTCTCGTTCTCTACTTTGTTTTTTCTTTTCGTGTTTGTATCTTAGACAGACGGAACCTACAACCATTTCAACACTTTCACAAACCAATCATACATCACTTTCAATCTCATCTGCAAAACAACGTTCGAAATCTGCGGTTCAAACTATTACACAGTAAGTAAAATTTGTTTACTGTCTCTTCTTTTCTACTCTACAAAATCTTATTGTTGAAACTAATTTTTATTCTCTTTTCTATTGTTCTGTTTAGACGTTCAGTTACAGCACAATCATCACCTAAATTAAAAACTTCTTCATCTATTATGTCTTCATGTTCATCACCATCATCTTCATCACCATCATCTTCAGTATCCTCGCGATCTTCGTCCACATCCTCTACATCATCGGACGACAGTGTTTCTTCGTTAGATCTGTCTTCACTGTCACTAACATCAACAACAGATCGGTCTAAATCATCTCCATCAGACCAATCTACTACTGTTGATAGTCCTATTACGTGGTATAAATATTTGTATGGATGGTTATACATATCAGATTCAAGGTCCACTTAAAACAGGAATTAAATGGAAATGTTATTTGAATCGTGATCCGAATGTAAGGTGTCCATGTTTCATCATTACATCAGCAAATACTGGTACACCAGACTCACCAATTTATACCTATATTAAAGCAACAGCTGAACACAATCATTCTCCTAATCCAGTCGCACAAAAAATTAATATCTTTATTTCAAAGTTGAAAGATTTATCATCTGATCCTGGTAGTGATCCTTCAGTTGCTAAATATAATAAATTGGTAGCACAAATGAAATTTACACGTGAAGAAATGGCAAAATTGCCAACATTTTATAGTTTAAGTAAATACACTTTTATTTCTTGTATTTGTTCATACTTCACTTTATTGACAATTGCAAACATATTGTATTTTCTATCTTGATCTCTAGGAGTAACACTATGGCGAGCTCATTCCAAGGATATGGGAACATTTCCAAAAGATATTACATTCTCAATACCTGAACAATTTAAAATGACAAGTGATGAAGAACAATTTATTGTTATTGATCATATTTATGGAAAAGAACAAAAGAGAATTATTTTGTTTTCTGGTCCAGAACAATTTCAATTATTATGTACAACCACACAATTATTTGCTGATGGCACTTTTTCTGTTACACCACGTCCATTCAAACAAACCTATACAATTCAAGCATTACATGAATCAGGAATTGGCAAGTTTTATTTTTCAATATAGAAATTCAAAATAATTTTATTCTTTCCTTATTCGTGTTTTGCTCATTCTACGTTCTCTCTTTAGTACTACCAGTAGCTTGGATTTTACTGAATGATAAGAAAAAATTAACGTATCAGTTGTTGTTTAAACTTTTACAATCATTAGCACAAGAAAGAAAATTGATATTCTCACCTACAAGATTGATGACTGATTTTGAAACAACTGTCAAATTAGCATTTACAATATTGGTGAGTATTGTTTTCACTGTTTACAAAAGAATGTGGCTTTTGTAACGAAAATTCTGTCACAAAGATGACAGAAGAATTTACTCTTCTTTTTCTTTTTTAGTTTCCTCAGACAATTCACGTTTGATGTTTCTTCCATTATTTACAATCTATCGTTAAACGTTTGAAAAAATACGGTTTATGGAAAATTATCTAATCAATGATGATGTTTATTTATTTGTTAAAAAGCTAATGCCATTACCAATGTTAAAACCAGACTTAATGGTGGTTGGATTTAATATGATAGAAAAAGAACTTGATGAAAACAAAAAGGGTGTGGGTGTGGGTGCAGAGTGGGATGTGGGTGTGGGTATGGGTGTGGGTGTGGGTGCAGAGTGGGATGTGGGCGTGAGTATGGGTGTGGGTGTGGGTGTGGGTGTGGGTGTGGATGAAGAGAAGATCAACAGCCACACCCACACACCCACACCCACACCCACACCCACACCCCACCCGCACCCACGAGATGCATCGTGAAAAGCCCTACAATCTACAAAGTAATGCTTTTATTAATTGTGCACTTTTTGTTTTCAATGAAAAGCAAAATTCTATAAGGTCTCGTTCTGTCTTTGCGGAAACACCATTTTTTTCTACACGAACGCGAAATTTCTTTTTTTTCTGTTTCATCTTTTTATGACTTAATATGTTTTATTTTGAGAAAACGAAATATACCAAAAGATGTAGCATGAAAAGCTCCACAATCTAGAAAGTAGAGCGTATTTTAATTGCGCACTTTTTCTTTTCAAAACTATGTGCGACCAATTTTCGCCGTTGCGAAAGCATCATTTTTTTCAACATGGACGAGAAAGTTCTCTTTTCTTATTTCATGTATAAAACAAACTGCTCTGTGCAAATTGCAGAGCTTTTCACGCTGCATCTTTTGGTGTATTTTGTTTTTTTTTATGAAAGCATATTGGATGATAAAAAGATAAAATAAGGAATAAGGGTCTCCCGTTCGTGTAGAAAAAAAATGATTTTTTTTGCAACGGCCAAAATTGATCACACAGAATTTTGCGTTTTTTGAAAACAAAAACTGCACAATTAAAAATAAGCTTTACTTTGTAGGCTGTAGAGCTTTTCGCGCTGTATCTTTCGGTATAGTTTATTCTTATTTGCGAAATCATATCAGATGATAAAAAGATGAAAAGAGACCTTATAAAATTTTGCTTTTTTTGAAAACAAAAAGTGCATAATTAAAAAAAAGCTCTACAATCTACAATGTAAAGCTTTTCACGCTGCATCTCGTGGTATATTTTGTTTTTTTAATAATAGAGTGTGGGTGTGGGTCATGTTTGTAATTTATTCTACATCCACACACTCAAGATAGTTACACAATTGTCAACTGTATGAAATTCGTTCTACAGATTGTAATAGTTTTATACTGTCTGACAAGATATTTTGTAATTCAGATATGGATATGTAACACATTACTAGTCACCATTAATGAACTTATTAATCAATATGTGCATACACAGAAAGTTCTTCTAATAAGACAATTTTATTGTAGTTTATGAATGATTGTTAAAATTTTCCTCTGAGAAAAAGACTACTCGCAAAGAATTGATTCACAATGATCGATTAGATAGTTTAAAAAACAAAATGTTATCCATATAGCACAAAAACATCATACAATCAATCCTAGCCTTCATTATAAGGGAACTTATATAAAATTCAAAGTAATCACAAATAGACATAATAGTTGTTTACTGTGATAACTTAAACTATGTAATATGTCTATATTTTCAATCGATATAAACGATAAAATGTTCTGAAACAGCTAAATATCTTAGTAATTAAAAACATAAAGATTCATTATTCTCGTTGTTAACATATGAACTAATTGCGACCATATTGAGAATATACCTATTGTATTGATAGATTATTATGTCATTAAATATAGAGAATCCGAAAATACTCTAATCATTAAACACAAAAATTTTTCGTAAAAATCTTCAAGAAAAAAAAAGTTTGAAAAGAAAAATTCTTTCAGAGCAGTTTAAAGTATTTCAATGTCACATGAATTAATCAAAAAGGAAAGAACAAAATCGTATAAGTCTTCTATACATGATATTTTACATGAAGTACAAAGAATCGAAAATCAAACATATATGAGACTAATAGTTCATATAAGATAATTTGAGTATATCATACTTTGAAGAATACATATCTTACAATTTAGAGAACAAAATATTTACAGAAAAAAATAGTATTGATAAGTAGAAAACTAAATGTGGATCAAATCAGCCGCGTTTGATGACCTTATTTACGTCTGTTTTTGTTCTCTGATAAAATCATATTGATTGATAATCTTTGGCGAGAACAAAATGTTTGTCGTATATAATAAGACATTTGTTGATCGCAATATCTCATGCATACAATAGAGAAGAAAACACATTTGCTTTCCAGATGAATAACGCTTACTTCATATAATATTTTGTAGAGAAACAATAGTTGTTAATTGTTTCTTTTTCTCTTTTGGTTCGTTGTTTCCTTCCATATTGAGAAGAGGAAAGTCTATGAATCAGTAATAATTATACATGGTTTTGTTGTCGTTTGAATACATTTGTCCCTACATTATATATATATATATATAATAGTGGAAGATTCTCATCGATATTTCTACTTTTGTGTTTCGTTTGTGGTAGTCTTTCTATGTAAGTTAACAGAATGGCCAATTATGGACCTGCTTATGGATCGCTGGCTAACAATCTTGTGAAAGTAAGAAAGTCTGTCATGAATGCTATGTCTACTAGAAACATGTCTTAAATAATAATAATTGAAGTTTGTCTTTCATATTATTATTGTCAGAAAAGAATCAGTGAACTATCATGATGATCATGTAGCGTATATATCAAGAACTGTTTCATTTTTAATCATTTGTATTTCGACAAATGTTTAATTTTGAAAGAAGATATCCTAGTCGAACGTCTTGTAAGTAAGATCTTCATAAAATCTTGAAAAGACAATTTGTATATGGATATTTTGGTTGTATCAGATATATCTGTACTTATGGTCTTAGCAAGAGCATAGAAAAGATATCGTTTCCTATTATCTTCTCACAATCTCTTGAGTGAAATGGCAACATCATTAGTGTTTACATGCTGACTAGTTATTCACCGTTTTTTAATGCAGATAGAGCCATATATAAACAACGTGATTGAATATACATAACACAAATTTTCAGCATAGTTTTTTTTGAAAAACTATTTCTCGAATGTTGATTATTCGACAACATGCTGATCATCGATCGATGATTGCGAAAGGACTACCATGAAGCAGTCTAATAAAGATCGAACCATCTCAAGATCAGTCAGATTCCCAGGTCTGACTTGCTTCTCTTATTTGGGATAGGAACAGTTAAAATGAAAATAAATTGAAACAAATGTCATTAAATAGTTTTACAGAAAAAAAAATAGATATGTTATTTGATAGGTTCGAACCACGTTTTCAGAATGTGTTATGCATTGTGCTGCAAATCACAACATATGCAACATGTTTTATCTTAGTATATGTACCCTAGATCTTGGTACAAGATAATATGATTATCTTGTACCTAAATTTTCAGAGATCTGTTAACACTTCTGTACCTTGTATCTTGGCTAAGATCTTTCTTACCGGATGATCCACTAGGGTATAATTTGTTTGATGTTTTTTTCTATTCTTTGATTTCCTATAACAATATATGAATTTCTTTTCTTTTATATGCTTCATTCAAAAACTATTTCTGAACAAATGGAAAGCGGGTATATTCTATTCTTGTATATAGTTGCAACGTAAAATTTTTCGTATGGTAAAAAGATTGTCAACACTAGATCTATCCTTATCATAGTTTTACATCATAATAAGAAGAGAATAGTTTTTGTTATCAATTGTTTTCTTGATAATTATCATCATCCTCAACCACATAGATACATGCAAACTATTTATTAGATAGCGGCAAAACGCGATCCAGAACTTGAAAACGAAATACAAACATGGATTGAATCAGTAATTGGTGAGAAATTTCCGAATTGTTCTTATGAAGATGCTCTTAAAGATGGCATTATCTTATGCAAGTATGCTATAACTTTCTATGAAACAATCTATTGATTTCTATTCTACTTTTCAAAACGAATAAAAGATTGATGAACAGACTTGAACCGAATGCAATTGACAACTTTACGATAACTGATGGAGGATTTAGATCGCGCGAGAATATCTTACTTTTTCGTAAGTATAATTTATTTTAATATTAATAATGATTGAATTTTTATATGTGCCATAGAAAATGCAGCTCGAGCTTACGGTCTACTTGATCTAGCGTTATTTCAAACAGTAGATCTTTACGAAAAACGGAATATTCCTCAAGTAACACATTGCTTATTAACACTTGCACGACAAGTAAATGAATAGTATTATTTAAACGACATTTCATACGTTTCCTTTTATTATAGGCTCAAAAGAAAAATTTTAATGGACCTCTACTTCGACACAATGCACCTGAATTTCGTGCTTGCAAGATTCCCGAAGACAAACTATTTCCTAGAAAAAGTCTGGCCGGTTTTCGTTATTCAGGATCGAAAAAATCTACACATTTTTTTACCTAAAACTATATAATGATTTAGCACAAATTATATTATTAACGAATAATAA